CTAATGATAAAATAAATTATTTAGAAAAGTTTTTTCTTGAGGAAAAGTCACAGGGAAAGCAGTTAAACCTGACTTTTTCTGATATAAAAAAAAGCCAATTTTTATGTTTATAAAATATTTTGAATGAAAAATATTAAAATATGTACAAAATAAACTATTTTGAACACTCTTTTTTATTATTTATAAAAAAAAAATATAGTTCTGGCATAAACAATGTTAAATTTTAACTGACTTAATTTTGCGAATGCATCTTTTTTATTTATATGGATATCTTAAGATCAGTTCTTGCGCTAATGTTGCTAATGCACCATTTGAGTGAAAAAAAAATTGTTAAGGAAAAATTTTCTGTTAGCAAACCCTTTGTTAAATATTTCGAATATCACCACTGGTCATAAACACTTACTTCCATGCTATAGTATGTTTTCAAAAAGTCAAATGCATGGACTCCACAATTTTGTGAATTGAATCCATTGGACATTTTCATATTGGATCAGTTTAAAGCCACTGTTGCCTAACTGAAGATTTATTTGTTAGGCTAATCTGGTGCCTAACAAATAAATCTTTATCAAAGGATTGTGGATGATTGTTCAAAAATTCAGAATATTCTAAGATTTTTTGGACAGTAATTGCTAAGTTGTTTTGAGACATATATTGTTCATGTTACTTATTTTGAACATTTTTGTGATATAGACATCAATAATCATTCTCATCAAAAACATTTGCCATGTTCAGTAATAACTAGAAAAATAATTTCTTAAGGTTTCTGACTTGTTTAAGTATGTATAAATCATGCTATAGCTCAAAACTATTTTTGACCTAGTGTTTGACTTTTTTTTTAATCAGAGTAAGTTGTAGAATATACACATTTTGACTATACATTTTAGAAACATCTTGTATTTCATGATCAGTTGGCAATTGTTACTGTAAATCCTTAACATAATTGCTCATGAGTGATTACATTACTGTTTTCAATGTAATTTTTATTAGAAAACATTTCACATAATTTCCCATGAGCAGTTATGTGGGACTGCTGTTATAAGAATAATCAATATAGGTAAATTTTTTAATAGCATTTTTTTTACTTTAGTCTGTGATAATAATAGTAAACTTTTGTTCCAGATTTTTCATTTTCTTATATTTTGGCAATTAAAGGAAATAACTGCTTTTTCTATTGTTGAAATTTGATGGTAAACTATACTTTCTTTAGATTATTTTTACAGTTTATCCACTTTTTCCACTCTTGCTGTACTGGGTTAAATTACAAATAATCAGTTTTGAATTCAGTGAAAATTGTCATTCTTATATTATTTTAAAAAATTTTATCTTGGTATTTTCTCAACAATCAATCTGTAAAGATGGATTTTTTTCACCTGTTCCATAAGGTTTTTGTCGCAAGCTACCATAAATTTTGAACAGAAAACATTTCTTATTACTGTTAGTTGATGTCTATCCACAAGTATACATATCTGTCAAAAAGTAACAACAACAAACTTATTCCATATGTAATTTGACATCCATAAATGGGTTGTTGCTAGGAAATGGTCTATACAAATTTGTTTTGTCAGAAACTAGCCTTATGATAATGAAATGCCTATTGGTGAGTGAATAGATAAAACTGACTGGTCACAGGTTCTTTGTGCCTCACCTACAGATGGCCAAGTGAAGTTTTCTAGGCTTTCTTTGTGTCTAAATAGGAGGCAATTTACAATAGAAAATCCTCCTGCGGGGTGCCCACTCTCTTGACAATATTGTCCAAGTGTTACCTTGTCCCACAATCCAATCTGACTATGCTACTAAAAGGAAAACATTTCACTTAATCATCCATGGACTATTAAGTGAGGTTGTTTACATAGGTGATTATGTGAGAATTTATAGTACCAGGCATGTTTTGCAGTTAATTTTGAATTATTAGATACCAATTTTATTAATGAAATATTTTTGGATATCATATTTTGAATATGTATACAGTGGAACCTCACTTAATGAGTATAATTTGTTCCAGAATCTTACTCATAATGTGAAACACTTGTTAAGAGAAAGTTTTTCCCATATAAATTAATGTAAAATACAATAATGTATTCCATGTCGAAAAAACACTCAAATATTTTATATATAACATTTATTGAAAGAAAATTAACAATATACATTGTGATTCATCTTCATCTTTTCTTCTAGCATGGAATGAAACAACCTGGAATGCAAATTTGAATTGGAATGCAGAAAACAAAAAAATCACATATAGTATGTCTGATAAAGATGCCAAATGATATGCCAAATTCTTGAGCTATGTAAAGGCTATAATTAAATATTAGAAATTAATTAATTTGACTAGATGTAGGCAGTTATTCTGCCATCTCATATTAAATTTAATAATTATAAATAATTAATTTTTAATTTAGACATTTTTAAAATTTAATTGGAATTGGTCATTAAATTTAGTACGAAATGGCATGTTTATTATATAACAGGCTATGATTGTCAATGTTTATACATAATATGTATGAACACAAGTTTGGAAAAATGTTTGATCACAAGCAACACTAAGATGCTAGCGGAACGAGTGCTAGCTGATGGAACATGCACACAACCCAGGATTTCCCTCTCCTTGTCACTTGTTATGCGAAACATCACTGCGTTAAGAGAGTCAAATTTTTACAATTTGTTTTGCTTGTTATGCGAGGTGGTTGTTAAGGAGGTTTCACTGTGTATTGATTTTATATATATATATCAATGTATTAAGAAGAGTGTTCAGTCCTGGTACAGCTATCAGCCAATATTTTGAATAAACTGAATATTGTGTATAAGCTTTTACATTGAAAGATTTACAGTTTCACTTTTGATTTTATCATTTTTACTGACTTTTTGGAAAAAACATCCTTGATAAAGACTCCATGAAAAAATTTGATGTCAAAATCCAAACTATGAAAAGTTCAGATTTAGATGCAGTTCAAATATAAATCTCTTGAAACAGATTATTATTATTTTTGTACAAATGCAGCTTTGAATGAAGTAGTTGGGATATTATCAAAGTTGTAGACCATGCTCATAGGAGTAAAAAAATCCAAACTAACCAATGGTTTACACATTACCCTTTGTGAGATATAACCTCTTGAAATTGGCCTATCTGGAATTTTGAAGACTCTCAAAAATGGAGTAAAATTTAAAAGTGAAAAAAATCTAGAACTATTTCTCAAAAACAATGCTAAAAATAACTGTTTTCCACTCTACTAGAAATAGCTAAAATATCTTAAAATATGAGAAATGGCATTGCATTGACTACTTCAGGGCATGATTGGAGTTGTGCTGTGCACTCCATTAAGCTTATTGCATATTTAATAAGCAGCCCAGTCAGATATTCAGAGGAAATATCTTGTCTAGGGAAGTCTAAAATTTGGGGGTTCAGAACTGTAATTTTAACATTATTTCTCATTTTGATTTTTGTTTTTAAATTTGAAACAAGAAATGTTTTATGCTAGCTAGACTGATCTTGTTGTACAGCTATGTGAACACATTCTCATTTTTCAGTTTGAGGTTTAATAATTTTTAAATTTAAATTTTAGACAGTATACATGATTTTGGTTATAAGGTACATTCTATAAGTAAATTTATAATTTGAGAATGTAATGTTTGTTTGTACTGAAGATTAGGTTTTTCCATTCTGAAAGTGCTATGCTAACATAATAATAAAATAATAATTATAGTAATACAGTTACACTTTATTGAAAATTCTTAATATATTTTAAAAATTTTATAGTCTGAAACAACAGATGACAGGCAACTGACTATTTTCTCACCATCTGATGTATTGGAATGTGTTGTTCAGGAATGTCCTAGACTTCTTTGCCGAGGTAAAATAAAATTGATAATTAATTGTGATTGATTAAAAAATATTTATTTAAATTACTTGTAAACATTGCACAATTAAGTTAATAATCTAAACAAGATTCTGAAACAAGAAAACAAACTTAGATTATAATTTTAAAAAGTTTGTATTATTGATGTTAAGTAGTTTTAAATACTTGTTTTGTTTATTCCAAACTTGACTTATTATTCTTCTAAGATGTTTTTCCCATGGTGACACAATTATTTCCACACTAACCAAAAAACTAAAAAAAAATGTTTGGTCATCTTTTGTTTCCATTTCTGTTCTTCTAAATTCCTTTCTTTCTTTTTTTTTTTATTTTTTTGTCTCCACATGTCTAGATCTAGAATTTTTTCCTGCAGCATACATTTAAAAATTTTTTTTGTATTATTTTCTCCTTTCCCATTCTTTTGACATGCCTGTAGCACCTCATTTTTTTTACTATTTGTATTATTGTTCATTTTGTTTGTATTATTTTTCTAATAGTTTTATCTTTTATTTTCTGTAATCTGGATATTTTTTGTTGATCTCTCTCAATAATCTACAGTTGACCCTTCCCATAACACTGTTGATTATTCCGTTTTATATGAATTCCATGTTGTACGAGTCACTTAGATTTTACAAATACATGAGCTGTTCACAGCCTGGCACATGTATTTATAAAATCTAAGTGACTCATACAACATGGAATTCATATAAAACAGAATAATCAACAGTATTATAGGGAGGTCTACTGTATTTGAATTCTCAATATCTTTCTTTTATATGTTTCACTTATATTTTGTGTTTCTGCACTATACAGTATAATCTGTACTGTATAGTGCAGATTATACTGTACAATAAAAATCATTATGGTTCCCATAACGCAATTGCGGATATGGCACAATTCAAGAGCTACTTGTAAGTTTTTTAAGTTTTTGAACGGCGTACTTCCATGCTGAGGGTAGGCATGGAAGCATTGATGTGGAACCATATGATTTTTATTGGTTAAAGGATAGTGGCTTATAATAATAATATTTAATGGTTGTATGTTATTTATTTTTACATTTATGTATTTTTATGCTTTAACTTTTATTTTAATTAGTTGCTACATTATTGGTATTTATCTCTTTGAATTTGAATTTGGTGTTCTATTTTTTGTTATTCCAAATTTGAATGTTTAAACCTGAAGATGATCTATGGAGCAGATCGAAAACGTTAGTTTTTTAATAAAGCTCCCTTGGCAAAAAATAAGGTGTTTGTTACTTGAATAATTATTTTGCTGAGTACGTTTCTGTTCAATGTTATTGATTTCTTTATCTGTGACTTCAATTAGTGTACCTATTTCCATTTGCCCCTCCCTTATTGTCCATACAATTTTTGTCTTTCTTTATTTGGGAGTTTGTTGTAATATTCCTTTTGTTTTGTTACACAACCCAAACAAAGAATACTTCAGTCACTTCTTGATTTTAAACTGTATTATATTTTAAATATATTTACTGCCTTTTTTCTTTTACATACATTTACAGAAACTGTAACTGTTGTGTTAAACCATGAACATAAATAACACAATAAAAATGCTTGAATAAAATTTAAAGAAATGAATATTTGACAAAAGCATAAGTGGTTAAAAAAAACTTCGGGCATCCCTCTAGCATTGCAGCATTGACAGAAAATACTTGGACACTTGTGATTGGTGTACAGTACATATGTACTTGCATGAATGTGCTTACACACTAATAATCACAAGTACTAATACTATATAATTACATACAATAATATAACTATATATATATATATATATATATATATATAATTGTATCACCTTTTGCCTGTATTACTACATTAACATATTCACACATTGTATTGATAAGAATCTGATGATCATGTTGAGTGATTCCATTCCAAACTTCCTGGATTTTTTGACAAACCAATCACTGTCCATTGAAGTTATTTCCACAGAACTTTGTTCTCCCACAGATTTTTCAATGGGAGAAAGATATGGATGTATAGTTATTACACAAAAGTAATGTCTTACTTTCTTATTTAAGTTTGGTATCAGTTTTTTAGAAATTACAAGAAATATAAAAATTTTATTTTTGAAAATTTTTATGATTAAATGAAACAGTTTTAAAATGAATCTGATTTAGTTATCTAGATGGCCAACTCAACATATCAATACAGTAGAGCGTCGATTTTCTGAAAGTCAATCATCCNAGCAATTATTTATTGTGACATTGTCACAGTGCTGGGTTGCAATTTTTAATCATATTTTTAATTTATTTAATTTAAATTATATCCTCTCTACCTCAGATTAGTGACTTGTAGTGACTTGCCCCTGTACATCATACTTTTCCTTTAACAACAGAGTTGTACCAGTCATGTAACACCTTTCAGGGGAAGTTTCAAATTGAAATAACGTGACTTCCAGTTTGTATCGGATGTTTGTATATACTTAATTGGGGCCTCCTAAGCTTTCCATATCAGGTCTCGTCTTTCATCTGTCTTTCCTTAATCTTGGTGATGACAGTGGGAATTTATAGGTCTACAACTTTTTCAAATTGCAGCCCAATTATATTTGTAAATTTGAATTTTAACCTATATTATTTTTCTTTGTTTCCTCATTATTGATTAGTGAATATAGTGTGGTTCTAAAATATTTGGCCAAGCTTTGGGAGCATATTTTAAGCTTGTTCTGTATATTTGTAGCCTATTCTTATGAATAACTGTCATGTAAACACAGAGTCATAAACAGTGGTGATATTCAGCAGGTTCGCACAGGTTCGGCCGAACCCGTTGTTAACATTTTAAAATTTTTCCGAACCCGTTGTTAAACACACAACATTTCTCAGTAATTAAACTAGAGCCTTATACCCTGTTCGCCTAGTGCAACCTCCATCGACCGTTTCAATCTCGACTAAAACGAGGTTCAATCGCGATCGACTCGAGAGAGTTCGNTAAATGAATATTATGATATATAAATGAAAACAAACTAACTATTGTTTTTTAGGAGATTAAAAATTATTTTAATTATTTGTTTTTGAAGGATAAATTTATGATTTCATCAAATTCAAGTAAAAAAGAATGTGATATCTTTACCAAAGAATTGCCCTTTGATAGATATAAAAATGTGATCACTCAGTTCTTTTCCAGTGAAGGGGTAAGATTTTTTAAATTCAAATTAATATGCTTTAATTTGATTTTAAAATATTTAATCTGTAATGCCATATGTTTTAATTTTATATTAACAGCTTATAACCATGTTTAATTAGAATATAAGTAAATTTATAAATAGCAAACATGCTACATTACCTTAAACTATAAAAGAATTGCAATTAAAACAAAAATAAATTTTTGCTTTGTCTGCATGAATTACATTTTAAGATAACAGTTGCTGATTAGATTTGATAAAAAATATATCGCTTTATAAGAATATTATAAATCAAAATTTGGTCATTTGTTATCTCTAAAAATAATAATAATAATAGCAGATTCCATTTGTTTATAGAGAATAATATATTTGGAAACAAGCAAATATTTATTGTGACATTGTCACAGTGCTGGGTTGCAATTTTTTTTCCTTCTTTTAATTCTTAAAAAGTCATGCAACTTCTAGTCTAGACTGGAATATATGTAGTTAATCGGAAGTATAATTAACTCATAAACTGTCAGAATATATTTGTATTTATTAATTTTTATGTAACAGCTTTTTTTTTTTTTTTAAATTTTTCTATTGGAGAACTTGAAATGAAAATGAGCAATTATTTATTGTGACATTGTCACAGTGCTGGGCTGCAATTTTTTTTCCTTCTTTTAATTCTTAAAAAGTCATGCAACTTCTAGTCTAGACTGGAATATATGTAGTTAATCGGAGCCTCTGCCCCTTAAACTTTTCATATTTGGTCTTGATTTTCATCTATCTAACTCCATTTTCAAGATTAACAAAGGACAGATGGACTGATGGATGGACAACAGTGGGAATGTATGCCTGCAATTTTAAAATTGCAGCCCAATTAGTAGTTATTTTTATTTTTTTGTCAAAATGTATTTCTACATTTGTGATGCTCAAAATCATTAGAAAAAGAGATTGATTGGAATTAGGCACATCCATTTAAAAGATGTTTTGATTTAATATCAGATATACTGGAAAATAAATATTTGCTATTATCCTCTTTTTGATGAACTGGTCCTTATCAGCAAATTTTATAAGTACAATAACTTTTATATCTGAGAGTATATACAGTATAAGGGTGGATCAATAAATAACTAGCCACGTTGTTGCTTTTGGCTAGTTATTTATTGATCTATCATTAAATTATTTAATTTATGATTACTCATTTTGATATTGATGATATATTTAGCAATATAAATTCAATAATGATTTCAGATCTATAATTTCATTTTGATATGGTTATTGTACTAAATGAATGATGACTTAAATTTTGTTTTCTTCTTAATTAGAAAAAGTAGTTAAATGACTCAATTTAAAAGTGAAATATGATGATTAAAATGTTGTCAAACTCCTCACTTTTTCCCATCTTGCTCTAAATTTAAGTTAAAATTACACTGAGAAACATTTGATTAAGTTATTCTGCAATAATCTACATATTATTTTATTTAGAAATATAATTATCATTAAATGGATTAAAATACATTAATTCTGTATGTATGTATGTATGTATGTATGTATGTGTGTGTTTGTTTGTTTGACTTATTATATGATGGCTTTTATGTTGAGGTAGTATTTGAACTTGAAAATTTTTACAGGATCTGCATCAACAAGAAGTAATTGGTCAACTTCAAGCCGAAATAACTAATCTTACTAGTGCTGTCGATCTGTTGTTAAGAGAGCGACAATCTGCACATAGACAGGTAAAGAATTTCCATTTATTTATTAAATTATTAGGTTATTTTAAGAAATGAAACTTCTGTTACAAAATTCCATAATGTGTTAATGAAAACAATAATTGGTATCCATAATATAGAGTTTATAAAATATCTTTATTCTTAATTTGAAATTTCATATTTAACAAAAAGATTAAATTAACAGATGTAAATGTAATCATAACATGACTCTCTCATCTCAAAACTATATTTCCATGACACTTTGATTTAAATTATTGTAAAGTAGTGGCAGTACTGTGAGATAATGTTGTTAAAGTATATAAACTTTATATATTTTTGTGAATATCTAATAATACATATACTTCATTCAAGTTTTTTTTATTTATTAAATGGAGTTGTCAATGATGATTGCCTAAAAGTGTCAAGTTGTTCAAGAAATATATGGAGGATATTGCTATATCAATGCAGGATTTGATGCAATAATGATGCTTAAATTGCATTAAATTATGTTGTATGATAATTAAATATGTGTTCTTCATTTATAAAAGAAACATACCAAATGTAGAATTATCCATATAAAATTTAAATATTTCCTTAGCTTGACCAGCAAATACTGAAAAGAGAGAGATACTTTCATGTTCAAATTTATGATGTGCAAAAGTTGATAATGTTTGCAGTGCTCTCTCTCTCTCTCTCTCCCTACAAAAAAGTCTTAAGTGATCAATCTACTTGTTAGACATCTACAACTGTTAACTTACAAATTTCAATTAATGACAACAAGACAATATTTTTTCTATTATCCTTCAGTTGCATACATTGCTATATTATAGTTAATTTTTAAAAATAATAATATTTTTTTATTTTATTTACAATTACTTGAACAGAGGAAGTATTTAGCTTGTTGATTGACCAATTAAAATTAGTTTGGAGAGACAGTGATTTCAAATTACTGTAATCATAACTTCAGCAATATGTCTACATAAACTGTTGACATAATTGATAGTATCCTTATAAGCCCGATTCTTTAAAAAATATATATATATATATATATACACTCACTGCCAAAAGTTAAGCATGGAGCAATAAACTGCGAAAAAATCGACAAATACAGCTGTGATTGACACAAAATGCAGCAGGACAGTAGCAAATATGTTTATGCATGAAACAACACAGAGAGTTACATAGAAAAATGAAAACAATATTGAATTTTCATAAAGTATAAGATGAAATCATATTGGAATCATTAACAAAACGATGTTTAAATCCAAAACAAACAAACAAAACCGACATTAGTAGGGTAAATGGTCACCCCTTATCCTTACACAAAGTTTACAGCGTGTAACCATGCCTACCATGAGGTGATCAATTACTCCAGAGTCAAATAAGTGCCATTCCTCCTGTAGAGCAGTTTGCAACTATGTGAGAGTGGCAGGGGGTGGGAAACATGCACACACAGCACGGCCGAGGGTACCCCAAAGATTCTCAATGGTATTGAGGTCTGGCGAATACGCCGGCCAATCCATACGCGCTATTCCTTCACTCTCGAGGTAGTCGTCGACGAAGGCAGCTCTATGGGGTCGTGCGTTATCATCCATTAAAACAAAAGCAGGACCAACTGCTGCAGCATACAATTTCACAGTGGGTTCGAGGACTTCATC